AAACTCAGGTACACATCTGTTTGCACACACACACACACACTTTACATGCATATTTCTAACCTTTATACATGAAATGATATGTAGCCCCCATATATCCTGACATTATATACACATACTTATAGACACTCTCCCCTCACGTTGTTATTAAGTGCCATTGAGTTGGTTGCGATGTATAGCAACCCTATATAAGGTTTCCGAGGAGTGGCTGGTGAGCTTGAACCGCCGACTTTGAGGTTCAAACAGACCTTGAGGTCGAGTGCTTACCCAAGGCAGCGCTACATCCCTCACATTATCTGGCTATATTTAGGACAGTCTATTAAGTTTGCTTTCTCCAGTGTTTCTATCCTCAATTATCTTGATGGCAGACTTCATGCAAAGTTGGTAGACTGTGAGGCTAAGAAACAGCACACTTGAGGCAGGGTCTGCCATACTCAATACTTACACTGTTATTTAAAACAGGCCACGCTGGTGAAAGGAGAAAGGAGATGGAACTAAGACTCCTACGATTCAATAGTGAGTGATTGTTATCATGGGTATTGCAATTGGTAGAGGTTTTGTAGCAAAAAGCAGGGAGTGGTTGATCTTGCAGTCCAGGAGTGGAAGACCCTGGGACCATCAAGGGAGAAGAGCTGGAGCAGAGTGTGGGACCCTATCCAGAGAAGCAGCAACGCCAGAGATGGAGGTAGATATGATGATGCGGAGTGATGACGTGAAGAGATGGAGCATCAGGGGACTCTAGACTCAAGAAGGGAGAGGGGATGGGTCCTGAGGGCCAGGGGGCAGGCTTGCAGGGTATGTTCTTTGGTTGTGTGAATGATTATATTTTTCTGAGTGTTTTGGTGTACATCCAAAAAAATAAAACAAAACGAGGGAATAGAAGCAAAGACTGTTGAATGATAATGCACAGAGGGGATTGTAATCATGGCAATGAAACGAAATACAATAGGATGAGTGTAAAATTGACGTTCTCCCTTGTAAACTATGACTAAATTCACACACAAAAAACTTAAAAAAAAGAAAAACAAAAACCAGCGTCCAACTGCCTGAGGTGTCAGTTAAAGAAAAACTCCAGATTTCTGTCAATCCTGGAAAGGCACTGCTGGCAGATCTCGGTGAGAGAAGTGAGCCGCAGTGCGGACGGATGCGGGACCTTTAGCGTCTCACAGACTATGGACTGAAGGCGAGTGACGCGGACAGCCGGGGAGAGGAGGGCAGGCAAACCGTACCGCCTGCGCATGCGCCCTGACGTCAGCCCTTCCTGAGTGGGAACCCAAGGATTGGATTCTCCTGGCTTGTGGTTCCGTGTATGGAGGGTCTTCATCAGTGGTAGGGCGTGTCCTTAGGTCGCAACTTCCTCTTCTTGGCTATTTCTAACTTCCTTTGCCTCTTAGGAACCCGGAGAAAGGGTGTGAAACTCCTCAGGGGGATCCCCGAGATCCGCTGCTCTTAAGGGGACTAGGAAACAGCACAGTGTAATGTAAGAGGTGCACATTCGGAGAATCGGGATAGGCGCAGATTTCCTTAAGTCCAGTCGGGAGGCCCAAACTCACTGTGAGGGCTGGGTGATGGCTTTCTGCACAAGGAAAGGGGATAGGCCGTCTTTACAATTCAAGGCAGGTCTTACCAATGGCCACCACCAGAGCTTCTGCCCATCAACTGGGCAGCTGTGTGGTTAGTAGTGTTAGCCAAATGGTCTGTGCCTAAACTGGGGGCAGAAATGCCAACCTCCATTAAAGGAGGCCGGGGCAATGACACATTGAGGAGAATGTATTTCTGAACGTTTCAAACAGACCATACAACACTAGGTCTTGGTTTCACTGCCAGTTGAGGAAGTGAAGGGATGAGCACTTGGAAGGTTAGAAGCAGGAAGAAGGTTCCAGGAGCATCCAGAACAGCAGCAGGCAATTTAGTATTCTGCTAGATAAAAGGAAGACAGAGGTTAAAGTGGTTGGAGGTGATGGATCATGTTGGAGACTGCAATCACTGAGATGTTGAGGCCCTGTGTCATGGACGAAAATCCTACACGATGGCCCCACTCAGGATGGCTAGCCAGGGACCCTGAGGGCCCAAGGAAGTGATCTCCGGACGTCCCGGGTTCCTTGGTTTTTACGAACTCACTGTGGGGCTAGCTCTGTTTAATTTTCTTTGGTCCTATTATTCATTCTATGCTTCGAACTCCAGTAATTGTAGCTTCTGAGAAAATGGTTTCTTATGTGCCTCTCTTAATGTCTCCACTGTGTTGGCAGTGCCTAAGGTTCTGGGAACAAATCTCTCTGAGGAACAAACTCTGGCCACCTGGCAAGCATGGCAAAACTGTTCTTTATCAAGTTATTCAGTTATGTTTGATATTAACTTAATACATGAGCCCTTGATACCCATGGACAAATATTACAACAAAAGCCCCTCCTAAAGCCGAGGTTGTAAAAAGTTCCAAAGGCAAGTTTGCTGGGAGGCTCTGGAGACAGTCTGCCCAAGGAATTCACTCAAAGTAGATTGGCAAATTCCGGGATATTGTTCAAGGAATAATAGTGACAGCCTTCTCAAATCGTCCCCAGATATAACCCATTAACCTAGGCATCCTTCTTCCTCCTGCAAGCCTAGGCCAGGTAGCTGAAACAGCTGGACTCCTCCCAGACCTTTTGAATCCTTTTTACCTTTTCCTATTCGAGATTAAGTGCTATAGGTATGTTAATTAGCCTGGAGAAACCTCGAGTTGCGCCTTAGGATTTGAACCTAAAAAGTAATTTATAACAATTTGCTTGAATTTCTGGAAAATTAAGGATGTTAGATTAAGACAATTTGCGATGTATGTTTTAGAATTTGTTCCTGTAAATCATGGTGTCCTGTTTTGAACGATTAATCACATTTCATTTCTGTACCCTGTCTTAATAATCCCCTTCTTCCTTTGTGTAAAGTCCCTCCCTGAAATAAAAAGGGGGCACAGACTGAACCCTGTATGCATTACGGTTTGCAGGGCGGTGCATTACTGCCTGGAGGGGCCAAGATGCCTGTAGCCCAGGGTCTGCCCGCCAGTTTTGCATCCACTCTAGTTTCGAGGTGTCTCTTTGTCTCTCTCGTTGCGTCTTTGTGTGTGTTCTTTCTCTATCTCTGTTGCCGCCAGATCTCCCTACTTCATGAACCAAACTCCCGTCGAGGCAGGACCCCAACAGGATCAGAAAGGACAAAGTGTTAAAGAGAGATCGGCACTTTATTGAGACTTTCTCCCTGACAAAATCTGAATTGAAAGAACACTGGAAACATTCCGTTTTGGAGAGAAACAATTGTTCAGGCACAGATACTTAACAGATATGCTTCTTGGGGAATCTCTGCATCCCAGACGCCCCTAGATCCCAACATCCCCAAAGAATCAGAACTGTATCAGACACCCACCTCCACCCAGACACCTGGGCCCCAAACAGACCCTTAATGCATGGGCTGACCAAGTGACAGACCTGCAAGCGAGTAGGGAGGAGGTAAATCAAGGAGTGAGGAGAACAGGAACAATTACAAGAGAAAAGGAGTAAGAAAAGAAAACTCGATGGATGAAAGAAGTGCAAAAGAGAAAAAAGAAAAAAAAGAGCACACTGATAATGCAGCCCCCCAAAAGTATAAATACTGTATGAATTCATTAGCCTCATTTCCCTAGAGCAAGGGTGACAAGAGCTGTGACAATGGTCACAGACATTTTACTTCCCTCATCACACTGAGATACACAGAGGTGCTAAAGGTGAGCTGGTGAACATCAAGGGAACGTCAGGGAGAAAGGTGGGAGGGCAGACGCCCACCAGAGTGAATGAAGGAGAGTGAAGACAATGGTTTTGGTTTGTTTAGTCATCAGCCCCTGGTCACCAGGCTCATTGGGTGCCCCATCGAGCACTCCCTTTTCCTTTCTGGTGGACTCTCACCTCAGAGAATGTCCTGGAAGCTTTGGAGCCTCTGGCTTTGTTGGATGTTCCAGGCGCTCTGCAAAGCCCAAAGCAGCAGCCACAGGGGCAGCATGAGCCAGAGTGCCGACAGATTTGAGAAAAGGAAGTCCTCACCTCTAGGTTTCTACAGGCCTGAACTGGCTGGCCCATAGGCTCACACTGCCTGCCTCACTCTTGGCCTTGGCGGGAGCTGGGTGAGTCCCCAGGACAGCTGGTTCCCTGGGCTGAGGAGCTTCACCAGGTGGCCCTACCAGGTGTGCGGGCTTGCACAGACCACTCCCCCATCCACATTTCCTTAAAAGTCCACACTCACCCCCACCCCTCCAGTCCACAGAGGCAGCATACCAGCCAAGCAGGAGTCTCCTACCAGGTGACCCTTCTCTGTGCCCGCCAATGATACGGCATCTCCCTAACCTCCGTCAGACAACATTCACACATACTCACACTCACTGGGGTTTGGAGGCCTGGCTTTCCTGGGGTGCGTTCAGGTGAGCAACAATGTTAAGCCTTGTTAACAGTGGCACAGAACGGCTGGAGCTGGTTCTGACTCCTAAGAAAAGACTCCACATCCCATATGTGTGTGTGTGTGTGTGTGTGTGTGTGTGTGTGTGTGTGTGCGCGCGCGCGCGCACGTTAGGAGACAGAGAAGACAAGGAGAAGCCAGGCTAGTGTTCCCATAGAGACGCTGTGGGAACCATTTCCTCTTGCGTTGAGAGGGGGGGGGCTGGCTGCCTGGAGAAGTCCCTCATGAAAAGGAGCAAGATCTTCATTTTCCTCTTTAAAACCCAAATGCCTTTGGGATCTGTTTTCCAAGACATACAACAGACAAAGACACTGTGAACCAATTAACCCTGTGAGCCCTCCTAAAACTCTCACCTCAGTGGTTTCCGGGAGCTAAGTGAGTCGTGTAGCCTCAACACTCACGTTCCTCCTGGGGCTGAGAGCGGGGCTCAGAGTGTGGCCCCAGGACCCGCCCTGCAGGAAATGGGCCCCAACCGCCTGGGACTCACCTCCTCCAAGGCTCTGGGAGCCTAAGGCACTGGCCCTCCCCTTGAGGAAACAGAGGATAGGCTGAAACCCAGGGAGAGTCAGACCCAAGACACTGTCCACAGTTGAAAGCCAACCTGAACTTTGGAGGCTGAAGAGGAGAAGACTGGGAACAAAGAGAGACTGCGTATGGAAGAAAACAGAAACAGACCAAAGAGCCCTGTAGAACCCTGGGTCTTCACTACCGTCCTAACTCATAAGGAAAAGGAATTTCAGCTGCTTTTATGACCCTCATGATTTCAGTACAAACTTGAAGGTAGCTGCTCTCTGTCCCTCCTGGAGAAGGCCCTAGAAAGCAGCTGTGTGGTCTGACTCTCCCCAATCAGGCCTCCTAACAGAAGCAACAAGACAAGCACAGTATGATTCACAGTGTCCACTCCCCTTCCTCCCTGGTCATGTTCTTTCCCCTATCACTGGCCTCAATTAACTCCCAACTCTCCAATGCTGAATCCTTGCCAGTGTGGCTCAAAGGGTTAATAAACCAAGACTTCTCAGACAGACAGGACGCATGCTCATTCACCAAGAACAGCTGGAGAACGGCTCCACAACAATCTAGTGTTTCTTATAGCGATTCTTTGGAGTTTCGCCACACCCTGTTTTGTCACAGTTCAGAGCACCTGGGTTCTTCCCTAGCCCAAGGCTGCCCAGGAGGGCAGGAAGCTCATGGGTGATGGCCCGCTCAATCTTCTCCAGGAAGCAACCACCCATGTAGGAGCACTGCTGGGAGAGTAGTTTGAAACTGGAAATGGGGTTGATGCCAAAGAAGTCCTTGTAGGCCTCACGGTTGGGAAGGTCAAATTTGCTGACATTGGTCTTTGCCAGGATGGTCTTGAAGATGTAGAACTTATCGGGGTCTTCCACAATGTCCTTAAAGACCAGTTCCCCATCACTGAAGAAGGTCATTTTGTCCTTGTAAGTCTGCAGATAGCGGTCAACCAAGAGGGCATGGATGCGGACCCGAATAGCATGCTGGCGGATGAAGGCAATCTTGTTCTCCAGCCTGTTCTCAATCACCTGGTTCAGGTCTTCCAGCAGGGAGATCTCCTCTTTGAGAAACAGTTCCCGGTGGGTGTCGGGCTTGTAGTCTTGTGGCCAGAAGGAGCTGACGTAGACCCTTGGGGGCTCCGTGACATTGATGAGCGGGGCCAAGCTCCAGAAGAGAGCACCGTAAACCCGCATCAGCATTTGGGTGGCCAGGTTGTCAGCCTTGTTCAAGATAATCCGGATCTGGGATTCACGTCCCTTCAGCTGGCGGAAGAGCGTCTCAAGCTCCAAACCCACATCCAGCTTGGTTGGGTCAAAGACGACAAAGATGAGATCGGCTCTGTCGATGAACCACTGGCACACATCGTTGAAGGGGTAACCTTTGGAAAACAGGAACGAGAAGTTCAGCTGAGGAGACATTCCTTAACACGCCTGACACACCTCCTTTCAGTTACACCAAACCATTCTAAGGGCAGAAAGAGATACAAGCATTAAAAGCTTTTCTCAATGTCTTTTAGGAGTCCTGGTGTGGTGCTGTATGATAAGCACAGGACTTCTAACTGCAAGATCAGTGGTTCAAACCCACCAGCAGGTCCTAAGAACCCCTATAAAGGGTCACTATGAGTTGGAACTGACTCGAAGGCACTTAAGAACAACCACCACTCTGAAAGGGATCACATTAGAAGGTCCTGGGTAGAGTGGGAGAAAAATGTGAAACAAAACTCAAAATCATAAAAAAGACCAGGCTGACTGGTTAGACGGAGACCAGCAGAGCCCCCGAGACTATGACCCTTAGTCACCCTTTAGGTCTGGAACTGGACTCACCCCCATGGTTCAACTGTCAGCCACACAACAGACACAGACCTGTGAGGGAACAGTAACACCAGACAGGTACAAACTCCTCAGAATAATCATTCGAAATCAAAAGGGCAAAGTTCAGAAGAGTGAGGAAAGAAAGGAATGGAAACAGGAAACAGAGAGGAAGTGGAATAAGTGATGTTACATTGTGGGGACTGAAATCAAAGACATGAAACCAAATGTGTATGAACTGTTGAATGGAAAATTAATTTGCTCTGTAAAATTTCATCTGAGTCACAGTAAAAAGCTTTAAAAATAAAGACTTCTAAAGAATAATTGATCTCCTCCTCTCCTTTTTTGCTGGGTCTGGAGCCTACATCTGGCTTGTCATGTGATCTCTGGCCTCATTCACAGCATGTCATCTTTTTTTTCTCCCCAAGTAGCCAAAATTTTATTTAAAAGATATTCAGGTATTTTTGCAATTGTGATTAATTGGTAACATTGTTGCTGTTGTTGTTAAGCGCCATCGAGTCGGTACTGACTCATAGTGACCTTATGCACAGCTGAATGAAACATGGCCC